CACCCCTCCCTATCGAAGCGGTCTCTGTCTTTTTGAAGGCTTCACGGATTGATGCCTTTGTGGCTTGCGCTACCAGTATGTGGTTTTTGCTGAACAACAGAACTGCAGCTGATACTGGGGTGAAGTGTAGCTGCTACACCGCCAGGTGGCCACAAAGTTGTTGCAAAGGGTCCAGAACACAGGAATTATCTGAGCCCTGCTGCCTTGCTGCAGTCCGGCTTGCAATTGCAGAAGATGACGCTCTTCACCCCGGTGCGCTGGGATGGTTAGGGATAGTTGCAGGCTGCCACTTCCAGATAGTGCGGCCCGTGCTGTTTCTAGCATCATTCCTTACAAGAGTAACTCAGAGCCAGGCAGGGCACGAGGCTATGCTCAGCGCGATTTCATCCTCAAGAGAGGGTCTACTGTAAGACCTGGGTCTTGTGAAGTTTCTCAGGGCCTCTTAGCACGCTGGTCCCGGTACGGTAGGCGAAGCTCCCTGGGCCTAACCTTTTCAATATCAGGGCCCGAAGTCTGTCATCCCTGAACCGGCAACGTCGAGTGCAAAGCCCTAAGAAGAGCCCTCCTAAACTTTCAAGCCGAGCGGAGCCGCTTACAGTAGGCCGAGAAAAGGCAAGCTCTGAATTCTGCTCTTCTTACACTCTGCCCTGCTGCCGGGAGGATGGCTCGCGGCTTCTGCTGAAGGATCTAGACATGGCCCTTGCAGAAGGCACGAGTTGGGGAGAAGTGGAGTCTACAGAAACAGAGGGCTCCGAGGGTTCAGAAAGAATCGCTGGGGCATATTCTTGCTGCAGTTTTGCACCCGATGCAAGGAAGGAGGGACGGGGGGAAGGAAGGACTCGATTAATGCAAGGCTTGATGGAAGGAAAGACCGAAGATGGAATCGATGCTGCGAAGTACTAGGACCCCAGAAAGCATCAGGACGCCCAGTCAGTTCAACTCAGACCTAAGCCCTAAACCCTAAACTCCCCGCCTGGCCACATGTGGCATTCGACCTAACTAACTCAGGCAGGTGGAAAAGAGGTGACCAAAAAAATCTCCGCGCCTGGCAAGTCCGAGTTGTGAGAGCGCAAACCCTTAACGTCGCCTTCAGGGCGACAGCGTCGGCTCCTGGTGGTTGGTAGCAGCGGCATCGGCAAGAGCTCGGTGCCCGCCACGGCTACGACTGAGGGGGTCACGGAGTTGGCTTTTAACCGGATCTACAATGATTTGGTATTGCCTTCGTTATTCCGATTATAGTGATTATGGTTGCGGTCAGGGTTGGTGCGAGTTTGTCATGGCTTGCGAGACAAGGGAGAGCCCGAGACAGGTGCTGCGGGCCGTGGCCGGGCTCTGGAATAGAGGCGAAGGCGACGTCACCAATCGTACAAGACAACTTCTCCCGATTTTCTTGAGATTTGGTATTTCGAGCGCAGTCAAGGTTTCACACTTCAGGCGCTGTTGCAAGTTGCTGGAGGGTTTTGGGGTTGTTGAGGGCAGAAGGTTTCGGGGTTCCGTTCCTGGCCTTCTGATCTCACCATTTCCGTTACAGTTCTCGTGTGGTTTCTTTTGTTTTCTATGCAGCAGTTTCGGGTGTGGAGCGATTTGTTGGCCTGGAGCCTCGATCCACTCTTGAAAGTGTGGCGCAGGCACAATTGTAAGGCCACCGTCTGCGCAGATGCGGCCTGCTCAGGAAAGATTGGGTGCGCAGCCGTAGCCGGCAGTGGGACAATGTGAAAAAACTGTGCAAACAAATCTGAAAAACGCGAGGCTCTTCCTGCCGCAGAGGCTCGGCTCGTCTCGTTTCTTGCTGTCGGGGCCCACTTTTCGCATGGGCACCGGGAGGCCTTACATGCCTCTCGGAGATCTGCGCACTCAGCTGCTTTACCCATCAGCCTGGTGCTTGGATTTCAGTGAAGACTGCAGCGGAAGTTCATGCCGCTCCAGCTGAGGAGGGCACGCTTGGCGATCACACTGATGCGGAGCTCGAAGATGTGTGTGGGACTTTGCTCAAGGGTGGTGGCTCTCGGGTTGTGAGGTACCAGTACAGGGCAGGGCGTCAAAACTGATGGCACCAGGGAATGGTTGAAGCATGAGCGTCATTAAAGCCATTGCCCACCCGATTCACGTCCTTCGATGCTAAGCCCCTGAGTCCTCAGCCTGAACTGGAACTGGCGTGTTTGGTGTTCATGAGCTGATGGGGCACGTAGCAACGGGCTTGAGGTCCCAGGGTTTGAACCTTGCCACTTTGGTTCAAGAAGTGCCGGCCTGTATGCTGGCCATGGAACTCAAGATCTGCGAAGAGGTCCTCGTTCGCCCTTTCGCGGAGGTCGCAAACAAGGTTCAGAAGAGAGTCATCGGGCGTGCGCAGCCGGAGGCCCGGAATGAGGAGTCCGAGCCCTCCAACTCCATCGACACGTTTCTAGCTCTGATGACTCCGGTACGCGACGAAATCATCCGGTCTGCGGCGGCCTACCTGCCGCTTAGGAATTTCGGAGAGCCTCTGCGGAAGTCAGACGACGGGTGGTACCATCTCAGTGAACCTGCGGCGCAGATTGGTACTTTCTGGAGCCATAGTTGGCATGGCAATGACTTGTGCAAGATCTTCACGCTCTTGGTGATTTACAATTCCAGACAGGCCATGGTTATAGCTTCTTTCGGTGCCCTTCTCGCTAGCTTCCTGTACGCTGGACAGCTTCTTCCGGGCTGGGATGTGGATGCTAACGATGCGCTCTCCAACTCGGTCTGGGCCCTGGCAGTTGGGACCGTCCTCTACCTTGTGCTCTTGTTCGCAGGTCGACCCCGGGAGCGCGTCTTCTTGGACATCGTGTGCATCGACCAGAAAGACAGGTCCAGGAAGAGAAGAGAGAGGGGACGAGGAGCATCTCGGCCTTTATCGCTCGAAGTCCATGATCGTGCTTTGGGACACCACATTCTCGAGGCGCATGTGGTGCCTCGGTAGCACTTCGCGACAGCCTGAATAAAGCAGTTTTGGGTTGGCATCCTCGCAATTACTGGATACTGCTGATTTCTAATGATGAGTCAGGTTTACGTAAGAGCAAGCCAGGTGCATCTTCGAGCTTTCGGCATACCTTCACAGCCGTTCTGATGAGGGGCCGCACCTCACTATTCGGCCAACCATCCTCGGGCCTACCTTCTTCTGCTTGACTGTTGGCATGGCCCTAGTACATGGCATTATCATGCTCTTTGAAGGTGCAGGCCGTTGTGGTCTGTGTAGGCTTCTACACCTTCGTTATGACCTGCCGCCACTACTTCCGGTCGCTTGAGCAGCTCCAGCACGAGCTTCATGACTTCACGGTACAAAAGGCGACCTGCCAGTGCTGCAGTACTCCGCATCTGGAAGGTTCAAACTGTGACAGAGAGCTGCTCCTGAGTTGCATCAGGCTGTGGTTTGGCAGCGTCGAGGTGTTCGAAGAACGGGTGCGCAAGGACGTCCTGCGCTGCCTGATGGAACAGCTTTCAGGAGATTTTTTCTCATACAGGCAATGCATTGTGGCCTGTGGCCTTGATTCCCGCAATGTGGTCTGGACTGGACTACGCATCCGGGGCATGGCTGATGTGCACACAGCTGATCGAGAGAGGTTTGGATGGGGACGGATGCCCAGACCAACTGAGAGGTCCGCCGGACGCTTTTTTGGTGAACTGGCTGCTCAGGGCCGCTGTGTGGTGGCTCGGTGTCGTCCCTTCGATCCTACTCCTTGGGATGAAGGCCATGTACTACCTTCGCAAGAGGTCTCGATCGAGATGCCTGGATGAGGTGGTCAACATGGCGATACTTGTATGGATGGCAGCACTAGTCTTGGGAATGATCGAGTTGGAGATCTTGTGTTGGCGTCTTTCAGCCACTTTCCCGGTGGAGCCGATTCATCTGAGGCGCTGGTGGTGTGGGATGGTCGTGTTTGCATCAATTATGCTGCCGTCTGCCTGGGTCTTGTTTGCCTTCTTCGGCATGCGTCGCAGTGTGGTCTTATACAAAGATCAGAGTTCTGCGGTGCCGACACTGACACAGGCAAAGCCGAAGGAAACAGGACAGTGGGAGCAACGCTGTGAATCGGAGATTCTGAAGACATCGAGATGGTCTTTGTGACAATCACCTTAGGGTGAGCTCTCGCGCAGCTGGCTGCGAAACTTGTCTTGGAGCACCTCTGGCTTTTTCGAACTCTTGTCAATCTGCACGAGGCGAGTGTGTACAGCGGCTTGTGCCAAGGCCAAAGCAGGAGTGCTTCTCGTTGGCTGACATCTACGCAACCTGTTTGGGGTGTGAGGGATGCTGTTTCTGTAAACCCGACCATGAGGCTGGATGCAGGAGAAGTTACGGCGACGTTCTGCAGTGGGTAAAGCCATTTAAGCCCTAGACCCAAAGTGATTGCCACCTTGTTATTGTGTCGCTTTGGCGTAGTCGAACACAGAGACCGAGCGTAAATGCTTAGCCTCGCCCCTGCGTTGCCCTAGTTGCGAGAGTCCACATGCTCACCGTTCGGGTCGCGACAGTCCATGTGCTTACTTGTACCGAAATCTGAAGAGTGCGCGGAGTCGCTCGAAACGTTGACTTCTTTGGTTTCAGTGAAGCACTTATGGTAGATGACATCCTGAGGCTTTCTTGTTGAAGCTAGCTTGTTTGCAGTCTGGCTGCATACACGAACAAACAACACACACATGCACATGCATGTACGGTATGCGTATAGTATGACATACATGTACATGCGTGGTTAATAGACTTGCACATACAAGGTACGTATGCATACACACATGCACCAAGCACATACACATAGACATACATGTACACACACATGCACATGTATGTTTGCGAAAAACGTATGCACATACCTACGCACACATACATACGCGTACATATAAATTGCATGTGTGCACATTGGCACACGTGAAGACAATGCTTACATACGTGCGTGCCATACAGTACCTACCTAAATATGCATGTCTGTATGTATGCATGCATGCATGCGTGCATGTATGTATGTATGTA